TCGGTCCCACATATTTCTTTTCTACTTTTACCATTTCTCTCTCATGTATTAAAGACACTCATTTAATTGTTTTATATTTTCTTTATTTGTTTTTCATTTATATTACTAATAATTTTTCTTCTATTAAAAATTTATTTATCTATTTTATTWGTTCACGTGATTTTATTATAAAATATTATAAATTTATATTTAATTTTTAATTTTTAAATTTAATTTTGTTATTATTAATTAATATCAATATATTTTAAAATATAATTAATTGTAATAATAAAATTTARCGTAAATTGCACAAACCACCCTTAAAGTATGGTAGTTGTTGCAATTATACCCCTAAACTTTCAATTGTAAAAATTAAACCCTCAAACTTTGATAAGTGAAAAAATTGAACCCTTCAATATTGAGTTGTAGAAAATAAACTCTCAAATTTTCATGAGTGGTGAAATTGCACCCGTAAATATTTTTAATAGTAAAAATAAAGCCCTTAAACTTAAAAAAATTACATCTATTTTAGTCTGTTTCTCTCCACAAACCCTTTAAACGAGTATTAGAGGGAAAATCAAAACTCTGTCATGCAAAATATTGAAATCCAGATTCTGTTTGTTAGCATTAACATTTTTGTTATTATTATTATTTGTCTTTGAGGGTAGATTAGTCTTTTCTTATTTAGGGTTAACGAACTTATATAAATATTGTGTATTTGAAGACAATTCAATTGTTAATAAATCAAACTCTAATTTTATCTCTCTATGCTTTCATGGTATCAGAGCCTCCATTATCGAAGCCATTAGTTAATCGGCGAGTGAGGGAATTTCATGTGAATTCAGGTTTCGAAGATGTTGAATTTGCAGTCAATTTCGTGAAGAAATTGAATTCGSATTTTTCGTGGAGGCGTCAATAATTTTGAATGGTTTGTATTTGAGTTTTGGATTTTGTGCATYGAGKGAGCATAAGTGAATACACTTTTGAGTTTTGAATTATGATATGTGCTTTGGAATTTGGAATTCTGATAAGTGTTTTGGAATTTGGAAGCTTTRTTTTTAATTTGATTTTGGAATCATTCTGATTTGTTCTTGGATGTGGTACCCACAATTTTTGTGGATTGTGGATTGGAAGTTCAGGTCGATTTTGAGTYTTCGGCGTAGTGCATAGTGCACTTTTTTTATTCGGTGAAATTTGGTGGTGATATTGTTGGGTGAAATTTGGTAGTTGTTTTGTTGGATGAAATTGAGAATTTTTTATTTTGCCGTTATGTAAGGATGATTCTCTTCAATCAATTAGTGTACAATTGGATGGTAAAAATTACTACTATTGGAGTTATGTTATGAAGAATTTCTTGCATGGAAAATCTATGTGGAGTTATGTTACAGGTGTTCGAGGTAAGCTTAAAGACACCAAAGCAGATGACTATGCATCCTCATTGGATACTTGGGGGGCTGACAATTTGAAGATTATCACGTGGATAAATAATTCTGTTACACACTCTATTGGTGCTCAATTAGCAAAATATGATACTGCTAAACAAGTTTGGGATCATTTGGCCAAATTGTATACCCAGTCTAATTTTGCCAAACAATATCAATTGGAGAYAGATATTCGTGCATTACAGCAGAATGATATGAGTATTCAGGATTTTTACTCCTCTATGTCAGAATTATGAGATTAATTGGCATTAACAGAATCCTTAAAATTAAGCACAATTTGAAGCTTACATTGCTCGGAGAGACTCACAGCGCTTGGTCCAATTTCTTATGGCTCTTCGTCATGATTTTGAGCCATTACGTGGGTTAATTTTACATCGTACTCCTCTCCCTTCTGTTGATGCAGTGGTTGGTGAATTATTAGTAGAGGAGATTCGTCTTAAGTCCCAAAAAGATAAGAGCACACCTCCTCAGAGTCAATCCGTTTTTGCTACTCCACAAYGATCTTCAACTGGTGTCATACAGAAGAATTCTCACACAAAGGTTTATTATGACGAGTGTGCGTTCTGCAAAAAGAATGGTCATTGGAAGGCTCAATGTCCGTTGTTGTTGAATAAGGTGGGTAAATCGCAACAGAAGCAGCAACAACAACAACATCATCATCCGCCATCCCAGCAACTGCTTCAGTCCAATAATGGAGTGGCGGCCCCATCTTTGGATCCCTACATGTTTGAGCAGTTTCAGAAGTTCCTGGTTTCACAGCCTCATGCTATGTCTGCCTCGTCTTCTAAATGTTTGTCATCGCTTGATACTTCAGGTATATCYTCTACCTTATGGGTATTGGATTTCCTCTCATCATATGTMTCCTAGTTTGTCCTCTTTTGTTTCTTTGTCTTCTCATTCTTCTGTACCAATCGTGACTGTTGATGGCACTCCTATGCCATTAGTAGGTGTCGGCACAATTGTTACTCTTTCTGTGTCTCTCYCTGATGTTTACTATATTCCTAGTCTTACTTTGAACCTTGCCTCTGTTAGTCAATTATGTAAATCTGGATACATAATTTCTTTTTCGTCTTCCACTTTTCTATACCGGACCCGYAGTCTCAAAAGGAGATTGRGACAGGCCGTAGGCAGGGGGACTATATGTTCTGGATCAACTCAAAGTATCAGGTGTTGCAGCTTCTAGTGTGGATTCATCCTCCTTTCGCTTGAGTAGTTCATCTTCAATTTTTTATTTATGGCATTCTCGTTTGAGTCATGTTTCTGCATCTCATTTGCGTTTCTTAGTGTCTACAGGAGTTTTGAGATATTTAGACGGTCATGATATTTCTGACTGTAGTGGTTGTAAACTTGCRAAATTCTCAGCTT